TGCAGTAGAGATCTTGATTGTTGGACAAACCACTTTTACTCTCTCTCTCTCTCTCTCTCTCTCTCTCTCTCTCTCTCTCTCTCTCTCTCTCGAGTTCTACTAATGCTATGATAATAAGTAATAATTACTAGCGGGGAAAAAAACGGATATTGAAACGTTTCACCTAAATTGCTCTTGTAATTAAGTGTAAGTATAAGTAACGTGTAAGTAAAAGTATTGTTGAGTTGAGAGAGTTGTTAAATTATTATATTAGAGCAGTAGAATGACATGTTTATAAGCATCAATGAGCCACAAGTCAAGTTGTTCCTTTGGTACTTCTCGCCAACGTTCGTCGTCATATCATTAGATTGTGAACAGCGTAGATTTTGTTCATAATTTTTTACAAACAGGATTTTACAATGTATTCACAATTTACTTACTTATTTTTATCACAATCTTGACTACAATTTTCTTTTCGATCGACCTACGACTCGAACGACTATTCTGCTTATATACTCTTTTACAAGCATCGCGACATTTTTAATCGTTGTTAACCTCTTTCGTCAACTGCCAGATGCATCACGCGTCAGGAATGTGCACTTGGTTTTTCCCTTCTTTCGAAATTAGTTTCTGGAATGGGCGACTAAACTCAAACCATGGAAAATGGCCTTTTTTGTAACAATATCGTCTTCTCGTCGGTCTAATAAAGAATAGTCAAATTCCATAATTTTTTCAAGTTAAAGAAGCACTTACTTAGTATTTGTAGTTGTATGTTGTTACGTGTATCTACAAGAAAAAAATATTCTGTCGCGATCTTTCTATTATAAAATTTTTTAGAAAATTATAGCTGTAGCCGTGGCTGTGAATGTGTCTACGCACATTCCTTTTTTATTATCATCAAAGCATTATTTTAAATTCAGAGTTGATATCGTTCTCTTCTTCATGATTGCATTGTTTAATGGATCGGAGAGAAACTTTAATATCAATTAGCCAGAGAATGAATTCTAAGAGTAAAACACTAGCATCTTAGGCTATCTAAGGCATTATTGAAAAATTTTTATCGTGTTTGATATTTGAACGACCACGAACACGGAGCTGTTAGATGAGACTCTTTGCCACTCAAGTGGATTCTTAAACATAAAACTTAATATAAGTATGTGAGTTTTAGTGAAAATTAGGAGGTGCTGCCATCATTGCCAACATTGGGCTGAGGTTCAGTAATTGCATGCACAGGAATGTGTTTTACGTTCGGGCGAACGAATCGATGAGGGCAGAGCTGAGATGTTAGCATAACATCTGCTTATCACAATATCTTCAATAATATTTGTATACATACCGCTGTTTTTTTTTTTTTTTTTTCTTGTTTTGATCTCCGAAGCGTACTTACGAAAAGAAAACAACAATAGAGCGTGAATTGCAAATCCCTGACATCCTTTCGATTGTTATCTCTTTTATGTTTGTAAAGCTGCTTGCTTTGCTTTGCTTTTTTTCTATTTTTTTTTTGTTGCCGTTTGACGGAGCGAAATCTTGAGATGGATGGATTCACATATTATTCAAATGGACTTGCACGCTTGTATGGCATGGTCAGGTAGCTTTACATGGCTTTTCTCGTTGCTGTTGAGTGTTTAACTAGAAAAGTGATGTATGCACGCACAAGGATGCTTGTAACTTGCCAATTTCCAAGGCAAGAGCCGTAGAAGTCATTCACGCCTCATCTCAATCAATTCCGTTATAAAATACATTTCATGGTCTATGGACAAATGATGAAATGAATAATGCACTTGTCTTATTTTTTTAATGTTTTAAAGTCCAAATCTTTTTTTGGTATATCGTGCCAACTGCGCGTTTTATGGCGACACCCTGAGGTGTTTGCAGTCATTTGGAATGAAAATGAAAAATATATATATATTATATATATATATATATATATGTATATGTTTCAGTCAAATGACTAGAATAGTCTACGGAAAACAATTAGGGTTGATTGGTTATTCAATGTGTAGCCCGGTGTTTTGTGCATATGTATGCAGTAAAAAGTCGAGCAGATTTACACAAATGCCGTATGTTGGTATTTTTAATTTTTAAGCTTAGCTACTAAATTTTGGTATTTTTGTATTTATGCTTAGCTCCTAAAATAAAAAGAGAACGCATACACGAGCATTTCGCTAGGCCTAGTAAAACAGCAATAGCAACAGTAACAACAACAAAAAGATTGACCACAAGTCACATTGTTGCTATTAAGTTCTTTGTCACCTTATACAAACACAGCCTTATTCGTGTATCCGCCTTCGTTCGTTCATTCCATTCACAACATGTTGAATACAAATGTTTTTACGTTTATACGTTTGTAAGTTTGTGCCTGTGTTACGCTTTGTAATCATTTGCAATTATTTTGTCAATAATTACTATTGTGTCTTACGGTTCTGTTGTTATGCTTTTTCCTCTCTAAATATCCGTCTCTTTTAACGCAAACCCTAAATTGAATACCGACCAAAATGCATGGCTTAGCTTAACACTGCCCTTCTTCACCCTAAAACTTATAGTTGCCTTGTTGTCACCCTCTTGACTTAATGAGGCTTTTTAGTATGATCGATTTTAAATTGATGTTAACACTCGACGACAACAGCATTTGTGAAGTGATAACAACAAGAGCGCCGGGCAACCTGCTGCTTAACAAGTACCATAGATGGCCATATGTGTTACGTATGTGTTGTATATATATATATATATTTATATATGTGCGTATGCAGGTGTATGTGTACGTGTTTAGAGATATAAGATATTTAGCGGCATTAGAGGGTTTTTTTTTTTTATTTATTTATTTTTTTTTGGTTTTTTTCTTTGTTTTTTCTTATTTAACTTGATGGATTTCACTCATCAATTAGTTATATACAATATACTATATTAAGATGTATTTAAGCGGAGCAAATGGAGTAGCAAAACGCTTTTGATTTTTCTTTTATAGCTTAATTCCCGCAAGCAAACAAATGATTTCGATTTTTTTCACATTCTACGCAATGTTTAGTTGAGAAGAATATTCTTTTATAGGTTTGACGATGTTAATGCATTGACGCATGGCGCTAATAGTTATGCGAAATTCGTAGCCGCTCTATTATCATCAAATCTATTTTTGATTTCGTTTTCATGTGATTTCGATTAATTAGAGGAAGTGCTGATGATGAAGATCGCGAAGAAGCTGAAAATTACGCTGTGGCTGATCGTATACAAGCCGTTCATATAAATTTTGAAGCTAAGTGTTATATTACAAATACAAAATTTTCCTCCTTATAAAAAATATTTGAAAAAATTCAATGCAATAAATAGCCTTCAACAAGACATCGATGACTATATAAACATATATAATGAATTTATTGAATTCTTGATCAATGATCGGGATGAGATGGTGCGAGGACGAGAGAAATCTCTGAATCTCTAGAAAAAAGCAATTTCGGCTTGTTTAGCCTGCTAGAGCTAAAGCAGTTAAGAGCCGTAGATGATATAGGAAACAAAACAATGCTTGAACTCACAAATGTCTACTAATATTATATATAATATTATATATGGGAGTTTATTAGAATTTTTGGATAGTTATCCATAGAGTAATTGCCGATTGTTGATAATTAAAATGTTTCCTAACAGAAAAAAAAAAAAAAGTAAATAAATAAATAAATAAATAAATGTTTGAAACTTGAAATCCTTTCATGTTTTTTGCGCGTATTTGGTTACAAATACAGTTATCGGCGAACTGGCCGAAGAACCGTTTCCAGTCTTCTTATGATTGAAAAAAAAAAATTGCGAAATAGCAGGCGCTCAGCTGTCGATTATTCAACTTAGCTATCAATTCCCTAGAGTGGCGGTACGACTATAGAAATAGAAAAGTTTTCTTCCAGAAGCAAACTCATTTTGCTTCTCCACAGCGTTGCCAAAATGCATTGACATCATTACTATTCATATAAATGCTATAGAATGAAATCTTACTTGGTTTGTGATAATACTTTTAAAAATTGTTCGCAAAAACGATTCAAGAATCGAACCCTGCCATATACCTAAGTTCATTGGTCATTGTCATGTCGTGCATTAGCTGTTTAGCCAACGAGTGCGGGTTTATGCTGCACGATGCGAGCAACATGACGCAATTGCGCGTGGTATAGTATAAAGCAGAGTTTCCCAAATATTATAATACTTTTTTCTTTTCTTTTATTATATGAACAATAACTTAGGAAGTGCCCGCTATTCGTGTGCGTAATGCGGTGACAGTCGGAAAGGATTGTGAAAAGAAAGAAAGTGAAAGGGAAAGTGACGACAGTCAAGTTGGTCTCTGGCCAATCGGGTAAATGTTAAGCCTTTACCGATGGATCACTCGCTATAGCTACGACCAAAATAAACTCTGCCGCATTGAGATTTCAATCCGCGAACATAGACTTAATAGTCGGAATTCAACCATATCTTTGCAGCCGTTTCTTTGGTTTAATAGTAGAAAAAGCAAATAGTTTTTCTCCGAAAGCAAGACTTCCTCTTCGAATATCAAGCTTATAACCGGGAACATAGTTTAGTACTAGTTTTTTATTCAGACGCATTCTGACGGGTTGGAAGTCTAAATATTTTTGATTTTTTTTTTTTTTTTGGACAACACTTTACTATTTTGAAACCTCCTATCGTTACCTAAAGTAATGAGGTTGGTTTGATGCTAAGGTGGCCGCTTTGCAAGAAGAAGTCTTGCGTAACCTTAAATCAGTTAGCAACTTAGTGTTTGTGATAGTGCTTGTAAAGTTCAAACTTCTCCAATTGATGGCGTCCCGAGCATGGTATTTAAAGGATATCCGAAAACGTAGCGTAGAAACAAAACGAGATCGGATTCGATATATTGTAGCAAAAGTAGGCGTGTGTATTAGTGAATGCAAATTTCAACCACAAGGTATCGCGCTTAACGTTATTCATCAACAGTACGGTGGACAATGCAAACAACAGGTTAAAAAAGAGAAATCGAGAAAATTTGCCGAATAGTTGTAGTGGAAAGAACTATGTACAGAGGATCGCAAATGCCTCCAGAATGGACAAAAAATCATGAAGGACGCATGCCTAAGGAACAGAACAGAATAGGTAAAGAAAATATCGCTGGTCTTCCGGCCATGGTAGACGCAAGTGTAAACTTGTCGAACGAAGGCATACGCAGTCGTCGGCTGGCCGAAGATGATCTCAGAATAATAATAGTTGTTAAAAAGGATGACCGAGCTATCAAAGAGCAAATCCATAAGGAAAATTGCACAGTAAAAGCGTGTTGGGTTCAGGGGGGCGGCTTTACTTTTTAACGCAGTTGTCTATGACGGATATGATATAGCTCTGCGGTTCACGCACAAGACCGTTCTGGGTGATCCCAAGACTCTAGTCTGAAAAAAAAGTCATAAAAGAGCATCAAAGAGAGTCACACAGAGAATACTTTACTGTTACGAAAACTGTTAAAGAGATTAATTGAGGGATTCTGCTGGGTAGGATGCCGAAAATCTGTAGCAGCACGAATTCATGGCTGTGAGGAATGTAGTAAATCAAAAGAAGCGGAAAATAAGGTGAAAAACCAAAGGGCGACCAAAACGATGTACAAACGGAAAGCAAATCGCAAATGAACAATTGATGGCCGGAAATGATCGGAAAGCGAGGGTTCTTGAATGAAACCTAGCACAACCCTGTACAACCTATCAGCAAATTGTCAATCTAACTGGAAGGAATCGTATAAAGCTATCACAAGGATAGCTGACGGAGTTTATCGGATCCAGCAACAACCGAAAGGCAGAGCAATAGTTAAGGCAGCACACGTAAGTAGACTGACCGCCTTGGAGAAGAACCTTGCCCGGGACGAAGAAAATGAAGTGGAGGACTGTGTTACGGAAATGTCATATTTGATGATTTGAAATGAAATTCTAAGGGAAGGGAACAGTATACGTTCATGGCGCGGTATCTGCGTTAAGCAGCTGGCGACTGACTGAAAGAGATTAACAACAATTTGCAGAAAATTTAGCGGGAAAACGGATGAATTTCGTTAATGGTATGAAAAGCTTATCAAAAGATATATAAGCAGAATATTTGCGGAAAGCAACGAGAGAGTGAGAGTCACGCCAAGAGAATTGAATTGCAATATTCGAATGGACATGATTAAAGCGCGCTATCGTAGAAATCATAATTCGGCGGTACGAACTTATTCTCAAAAGGAGTTGAGTAAAAAATGTAAAAATCACAAAAGACAAAAAAATATTTCGAATCTCGAATTTCGAAATACTATTACTCAGCGACTTTTGTCGAGAATTAAAGACCTTTCAAAATAGAGGGGGATTGATCGAAGAAGTGAACCAATCTGAACCATTTTAAAAAGCATTCGTACTTTAGTCAAAGTTCGTCAGTTTACAAAATGTTATCTTACTATCTTAAAAACTGCGATCTGTAGTTTCAGTTGTATGGATAGACGGACAGACGAGTTGAGAGAATGATTCGGATCGATATAGTAAAAGTTATGCTTTTGAATACAATTTTAATTGCACCTTGTCTCCCTGACTGTCTGCCTGTCTATGTGTGTGTGTGTATATTCAAGCTCCTTACTGGTCGCAATTTTTAAGTAAATAGTTTGATAAAATTTGATACGCTAACGTGCTTTGATCCAAAGGTGAAACGCTATTGAAAATGTTTCGGTCCGGATCACTTTATGGAGCACTGTGATGGGAAAAATGCAATTTTCAAAAATTGTTCGACAATACTTGCTGACCAATGGTAGTTCGACATTCTAAATTGGTAGGAAAAATTTAACCGTCTCTAGGAACACTTAATCCTTTTATATTAAAGGTTCTAATTTTCAAAATTTCATGGTGAAAATTGTCCGAGAAAATTAAAAGTAGGGAATTTGGATAACATAGGTCTACTTTTTAGACCCCCCCAACATTTAAAGAGCTTGGCATGGAAAGCAGGCCCTTCGAAACTGAAAGGTAATAAAATGTTTGCGAAGTAAATTAGGTTTGCTAAATTTGTATCATGCCGCGTGACACCTTGGCTTTCATGAAACGTATGCCTTCGTATGTAAATAACATGGCTGTGTTGGGGAAAGTTGTATGGGGTATCCAATGATCAGTCTTGCCTGACTATAATTTTCTTAATTGTTTTTCATATGTCGGCGGGATGCATACGCGATAGTTATATAATTTTGATGAAAATCAATAATTATTCGTATTCGGATTTGAGGTTATGTCGAAACAATTTTCTTCGATTTTTTCCATTAGAATGCTTCATTTCGATTTTCTTGCATGCTATCGCGTTTGATCCGGATTCTCTTAATCGTTGAATATGTTCGACTCTGTCATTTAATCATAAGTTATATAAATGGATATCTTTGTGGGTGGTTTGCGCTTTACTTTATGCAAAAACTAAAACCGTGAATACTAACTGGAGAGTTCGAGTTGTGATGTAATTTTACATACGCGTGCATTTAAAAAATATCGTTGAAGACTATGATGCGTTAATTACCAAAACTATTCTTAGCGATGACAACACACACATTCAATACACCGTCCATACGTCGTAGGTCTCTAATGAAATGCAATTATACTCGCGGATGGCATTCAAAGCGTGCGATGTCGTAAAAAAAAAAGAAAGAAGAAGTCATACCGTAGCAAGGCAATCAATCGCTATCTCGCCTTGCTGGCGAGATCTGCTTTTCGAAAAGAGTAACAAAAAAAAAAAAAAAAATGTAACTGCAGACCGAATGTGAGTGAATTTGATGATTGAAAACAAAGTTCACTTAGGAGCATTTTCAATGAGAAAGCCGAAGCATTTTTCGCTCAACTTTGGAATGCAAAAAATAAAGAAAAAAAAAGTATGCGATAAATGAAATTAAGTTAGCTGGTGCGTGTGTGCATTGAAATTTTTGATATGATTCAGTTTAAGTCAAAGTTTCAAGTCAACGCAACGTTATCCTTTCGTCCGTTCGTGCCTTTAAGTTGCTATAAAAGAACGGATAAACGCGTCAACCCCGGCTAGAAGATTGAAATTGTTCGCTTTTTCTTCTTCTTCTTCTTTTTTTTTTTTTTTTTTTTTCTTGCATTAAATATTAACTCAAATTCCATTTATCTTAAAAGTTATTTTTTCGTTTTTCTCTCCCCTTCATTGCCCTGTGTTTGGCGTGCAGTTGCAAATTACATTCAAATTATACGATTTTGTTAAGACGAGGACATTTCAAAGTTTCCAATTTCAAAAATTTTGTAGGGCTGAGCTCAGTTTTATTTTGCTTTTTTTTTTTTTGCTTTTTTTTTTTCTTCTTTTCTATTAGTGTTTTACTGCTTGACAAAAAAAAAAGTATGCGTTCGCCAAGTAGAAATTGTTAAGAGAAGAGTGATGAGAAGAGCAGAGAAGATGAAAACAAATAAAAAGTTGACATATGTGCGCCTGAAGCATGATTTCCGTAAACAGCAGGGACACAATCAACACATCTCTCCGCGTACTTACAGTTCCTTCATACCAGAATGCCATACTTGCCTTGCTTGCTTATAGCTTGACAGATTTTCGTACTCGTATATATTGTATTTGGAATTGAAAAATACAACAACAACAATAATAATAATAATAAAAAATAATACCAACAAAAAGAAAACAACCAGAACAACAACATTAGCATGATACAGTAGATTGATGTACTAGAGTGCATGTAGATTTTGTAGATTTCCATCCACGAAGCACTTGATTTTTTGTTACAAGTGTTTTTTTTTCCCCTAATTCTTTTCCTTTTTCTCTTATTTTTTTGTTTATTTCATTCACACACACACACACACACACACACAAAATAATACTTGAATGGATTGCTTTGAAAGTTGCGTAATTGAGAAATTAATGGGCGGACACGATAGTATCTCTACACGTATTCGCGAAATGCTATCATTATGGCTGCATTATCAAGAGTATCTGCTTCCCAATAAAAACATTTATTTGCTTTAATAAAAACTTTTAATTGCATGTGTACACTTATTAACTAAATATATTAATAAATATCAATGCATGCTAAGAGACATACGTAATGTATTCAAAATTATTTTATTGAGCAATTTTTCGCGCGATTTTGCGATTTCTTCTTCTTTAGTACTCACTCGCGAGCGATCGAAAATTTTAATTAATTTCTCGTTTCGCAATAAAGGTAATTAAGATTTTGTGGATTTGTCTATGGATGATAGCACCTTCAAGCCAGATGCGTAATTAGAATGTAAATCAAATCTTATGGGTAATGCGTCAAACGATAGGTTTAATAATTTTTAAAAATTTTTCCATATCACGTCCCGGTGCTAACTGGCTGGGAAGTGGATGGAGCGAATACAAAAAGAAATTATTTAAGAAAATAGTCTCAACGAATTTTCGTTTAGTTGATCTCGATTTAATCTCTTGTTCCTTTTGCGATATTTTAAAAGCATATACTAGGGCTTAACTATCGAGTGCGATGCAATCTTCGAATGTGTACAATTGGGCAATCAAATTTTTTTCTCAATCTCAATCACGAACGATGAGTGCATGTCTCATGTCTAAGTGCCGGAATTCGGAAATCTCTTGAAGTACGCAAATTCTCATAATAGTACGAAGAAAGCGAAATTAAAGTTTACAATGAATTTTTCAAATTTGTTCCGGTCATTACTTAGTTCCTATATGACCTTGGCTCGATCGTATACTGACAAGCGGTTCGTTCGCCTATCCATTCGTTTCTTTGTTTATCTCTTTTTATAATTTTGAACATTGCAAAGTGCAATCAAAAAACCGTAACCATTTTCTCGGTTAGTTTCTCTCTCTCTTTCTCGCAAGACACACTTTGTGAAAATAGTCTAATCCGGACTCAACGACAGCTAATATTCAGCAAATTGGAAAACGATGGCGAACTGCTGAACGAACAGTCAATCCCTAAGTGAATTTGAATTGCCCCGCGTACATCATCCAGCTCGTGATTTTGATCTGATTTCATTACACTTTTATTTTCAATACATTAAAAGTGTACATAATTAAAGCAACGGATTAGAATTCATTTCTTTTGATTGATGAGGAAAAATTTGCGAAAAATGAAGAAGCATATCTCTCCAATAATCGGCCGGCCTTAGCACAAAATATATTCAATGAGTGAAAATTTGAGGACACTCAAGTTCAGCAGATTCTTATTAAGTATGTATGCTTTGAAGTGATCCATTGCAGGCTATGTCCAATCACTCTAATACATGCCTAACCTTTACCGGACATATATTAACATGCACGATGAATTTTA